TTATACACTATAATTAATAAAGAAGTTATATAGGCTTATTAGAACCTTCTAGTTAATTACCTTAAAGTTATTTATAGACTATTTACTAAAATCCTTATAGGCGTAGTAAAGTAATTTACTACTAATATAGTTATAATACTTATAACTACTAATATAAAATATAGTAATAGTATTAAGTATAAGAGCTTATTACTTACTTATAAGGTTAGTTAGTAACTTCTTAATATAGTCTTTTCCTTATTACTATAGGAGGATATACTATATAAAGTTAGTAAGTATAGTAAATATATTATTAATTACTACTACTTACTACCTTATATTAGGTAGTATATTATACTTATTATAAACTTCTTTTTATTACCTTATAGGCAAAAGTATAGTAACCTATAAGCTTTACTTACTTATAAGCTTATTATATTTACTTATCTTAGCTTAGGTCTTCTACTTATAGGTGTAGTATTATTTACTATTGCCCTCTGTTAGCCTAATAACCTCTTAAATATAGGCGTTTCTTTTAGTAGACTTAAAGGTATATACATTTATTAGAGAGATTACTGCTAGTAGTATAAATAGTTAAAGAAAAATATACTCTTATAGGTAAATAACTTAGAGAAAAAACAATAGGCTATTATATTAGTAACTTATTAACGCTATTAGTTAGTAAAAGAAATATATATATAAGAAAAAGAAGTTAGTAAACTAAAGAGCTTATAATAAATAAGATATAGTAAATAATTACTAGTTAGCTATAAGTATATAAAGTAAGAGGTTTTTTATAGTTAAGAGTACTTCTCTAAAGGCAATAAAGCTTATATAATAGACATAAATTAATAGGGTTTCTACTAGTTAAAGGGACTAGTTATAGATCTATTAATTAACCTATTATAATAGGTAATTAGTATAAACTATTATAGTAAAGGTATTTATAGAGGCGTTTTTTAGTACTTGCCTACTCTAGGTATATAAATAATTAACTAGTAATAATTACCTCTTCTTATAGCCTTTACTAATCTATAGTTTAGATAGTAAAGTTAACCTATATAGTTAATAGTAAAGTTAACTACTAATTAGTGTTAGTAATACTAAGAGATAAGTTAATATAGTTAACTATATATATTAGTAGTAATTAATAAATAATAAAGGTAACTATAGTTCTCTATTATATATAAAAAAAGAAAGATAATTATTGTAGGTTAGTTAGTTAAATAACTAACTTATTGCCTATAAATTCTTAGAGAATCTATAGCTAAATATCTAAGGATTTACTAGCAATAAGTCATTAGGGTTAACCTAATAACTCTAATATTTATCCGCAATAGTTAACATTGTAATAATAATATTATAGAGAACCTTTATAAGAAAGCTAATAAGGTATATAAGTATAAGTAGTTCTTTAAGAGCCTTAAGAAGTAAGTAAACTAAATAAATACTAAAATTATACTCTTTAATAAAAAGTCTAATAACCTTAATATACTAACTACCTTTAAGAGTAGCCTATTTAAAGAGTTAATAAATAAGGTTAACTAAATAACTACTAAGCTTAATAAATAAAAGGCTATAGTTAGCCTTTAGCTTCTAGCTACTTAGCCTAAGATTACTATACTAATAGCCTAAGGTAGCTAAGTTAATAAATACTACTATAATACTAATAATAATAATAATATAGCCTAGGTACTACTAAAGGCTAAATAATCTTAATAGAACTTTAGGGATAATAAGTAATAAGGTTATTATATAAGAAAAAAAGTAATTTTTATACTTTATATTTATATATACTACTATTTAGTATATTTTCTTAGTAAAAGAAAAAAAAGTCCTTTAGAGAAAGAGTACTTATTATAAGACAAGTGCCTTATATAGTAAATAAATAAGTAAAATATAGAATTACCTTATTAGTATATATCTAGGTATATACTTAGGAGTATATATTCTATTACCTATTACCTCTTATTAAGAAGAGTAACTTTAATAGATAACCTATACTAATACTTAGCTTTTGTCTTATATTAATTATTTAGCTCTTTATTATTACTTGTCTTATTTTACTACTCTACTATTATACTTTACCTTTATACTATATTACTTTATATTTTCTATTATAGCCTTAGTTCTCTTATTAGATCTATAATAGCTAGTAAAAAGGTTATATTAGCTACCTTATAAGTATATAAAACTACCTTTTACTTATATAGAAGAAGTTATAAAAGTAATAACATAACCTATTAAGTAACTACTAATAAAATTACTATACCTTTATTATACTACCTTTATTAACTACCTCTTTCTTAACTACTAGCTAGCTATAGCTAGATATATATATAATAGTAGTAGTATTAGCTATAGTAACTACTAATAGTTAGGTATAATTTATTATAAAGTGCTACCTAAGGTTTTACTAAGTTAGATAATAGTTAGATATTATTATAGGTGCCTTATAAAGGCCTTATAATAAAATAGGTAGTAGTAAGGTAGTTATTTAATATTTCCTCTCTTTTAGGCAGTAGAAAAGTTATTCTTATTAAGGTATATATTAAAATAGTAAGGTTTCTTATAGATAAACTCTACTAATAAAAAAGGACCTTTTTTGGCCTAGCGTAGTATTTATTTAGTTTTTAACTAATATTTCCCCTTACGTTATTAAAGTTAGTGTGTTATTAAATATTTCTACTGTTGCTAATTAGGGCCTAAATTTACTAATAGTTAGTCTAAAATCATATACCTAATTAACTAGAGATATTATAAGAATTAACTACTATATTAATATACTTAAATAATTTATAGTGTAAATTATAAGTTAGTAATAAATATTAATTAAAATAATGTTTAGTATATATATAATAGTATATATATATATATAGTAAGTAAATAAGTATAATAAGTAGGCTACTTTTTTTCTTTTTACCTCTTTAACCTTTATAATAATATTCCTTTATATATAAATATATAATTCTCTTTAATAAAAAACTATATTATCTTTATTATTAAAGCTATTAAAAAAGACATCAAAATATATATATATAAAGTAACTACTGTCTTTAAGGTCTCTTGTATAACACTCTATTACTAATGTATAGGATATATTATATAAGACAAGATATAGCTAAAATAAAAGAAGATAATAAAGGTAAAAAAGAAAATAATTCTTAAGAAGGTTATTAACCTAATCTAATTAAAGACCTTTAATTATAACTTAATAGATTATAGAGAAGAGTTAAAATAGTGTTCCTACTAGCTAAGAAGTAGATTATATAATATATAAGTGTCTCTATAATCTAGGGGGGTATATTATACAAGGTAATATAAGGCAGTCATTACTGCCTATAATTAACAGCGTCGTTTTTATAACAAGAATCTTAACTAATTCTACTATAGTTATGTTCTCTTAATAAGGTTATATAAAACTCTAGAAGAGTAGCTTATTTCCTTGTGTACTACATATATATAGTAACATTAATTACCTAATAGAACTTCATTAGAGTAGATAAAAGAGCTAACACTACTAGATTCAAAACTCATACCCATAGCCCCCACCAAAACGCCTTTTGAGGCCAAATAAACCAATTGCCCAGCCAAGAAATAATGACACCCAGCCAAAAAGCCCTGTTTTGTAAAGGTCCAATGTTCTAAATACACACTCCTTATACTTTAACCCCGTTACTCTTTGCTCCAAGGTCTTAGGGTTATCAAGAAAGTAGGATAATCTCACTCCCATAACCTTCAGGGATTTCTTAAAGCGGTAGTAGATAGAATAGTACAAAACTGAGCCAAGGACATCAAAATAAATCTCGCCATGAACGCCTCTGTGGTGGAAATAGTCTACAGTCCGTTGCAAGAAGCTGTAGAATTCATGTGGCGTAAGATAAGGCGTGAGTCCTTCGAAGAGAATAAATACCGGTCGATCCGTAGGAATGTTGAAGTCGTCAAGCCATGCTTCTTGAACAACGTTGTGTTGTAGTAGGCGGTATTCTCCCCTGCCTGGGTCTGGCTCCTTTATAAGTTTCTCTCGTAGCTTGACGGCTTCCATAAGGTCTGCGTCTATCCATAGTCGACCTTCCCCTTGCCACCTAACACGCATGCTTCGTGTGTCAAGGCCGCAAGCTAGATGCAACACTGTTGCTGGGCCGGGATGTCTCCTTAGAAACTTCTCAGTGCATATGTCTAGCATACGGCCACGCATAGCCACTGAATATCCGAAGCGTTCGGGGGCTAGGCCGCCAGTCAGGCTCCGCTTAAAGCTATAACCCTGGTCCTCTATTTGAGAGACAAGCTCGACAGCATACTGATCGCTTAAAATTGGATGGGGTGCATCGGCGTCATAGGCGCGGGCCAAAAGTGTAAGAAGCAGTGTTTCCTCAGCACCAGTCAGTGTGATTTTCCCCTTACTAAGGGCAGTAGATGAAGCTGATGGTGACATTGAAGTGCTATTGATCTAATAAGAGTAGTTATAGTTGAAGTTGAGATAGAAGACATTAGCTAGAAGTCTTTTAAGCAGAAACTTACCCTGCTTCGTGGCTATATACTGGAGGGTGCCTCGACAGCACAGACTAGCTCACATAGAAGGTTTACGAAGAAATGTTACTTTGAAGTTTTCAACATATATGAATAAGATTCACTGCCTATGAAACACAATCTAAAGGACTAAGAGTGCAATCAGTAATCAATAATAATATAAGATTTCTACTTAACTATCTGTTAGCATCGAATACAAGCACTTAGAAACTCAAGTTATGTAACACTAGCCTAAAAGCAGAAAAACAAATTATAGTTTTGGTTTACCTTAATAGAACCTCATGCTAAGTCTAGACCTTTTTGTAGCGTAATAAGGATTATCTACCTAAAGTTAGTTATGTATAACTCTACTATAAAAACTTTATAGCTATTTTGTGAAGGTTTTCCTACGCAGGTATTGCTAATACGGATGGTAAAGTCAAAGCACCTACCTTTCGACCACCCCTGCCTTTTGACCACCTATGAAATGCCGCCTAGCCACCCTATTAACCACCATAACCCTAAGCGTACTTGATTGTGCCGAATTAACCGGGGTTAAATACAAGATTTTACGTTAGACGGTCGCTATACCTCCCTCTTACACGGATGTTATACTGGGAGGGGGGGTTATTCATTATCGCGCCACCCTTGATGAAGCCAAAGGTACAAGACTGCACGCACCCCCACTTTGGATGACTTTGGGGATGATTATTATACACTACTAACACTTCGGCAACCCTAAACCCCGCCGACTCGGAAGGGGGGGGGGGGGTGGGGGCCTAATGGCCGCCGCGCGGAGCTTTTTCGCACTCTTAGTTAGCTAAAAGAACTGCATGTAAGTCTGTCTCTCAACCAATTGTCATCAAGACACTTGAACGTTTAGTCGGCAGATTTCGGATAAATCAACTTAACTCCCTAAACTAAACTAGGTACGATACCCAAGGACTTACATACCGAGCTATCAGGCTTCAATCGCGACAATCATTTCAATCTTCCTTTCCCTGCCTATTCCTAAGATCGGACGCGAAAACCATGTTGTGCCCCCCTTGGGCCTACCTTCACCTATCCCCGCCCTGCTATTATTGCCGGTGCCTCATCCCATCGGCAATCCCCTCGAGGCACCTAGCACAAACCTATGGCTTGGCAGCGTACTCTCATTGGCCGCGGTGCTGCCACACCTTGACAAAGATATTCCTATTGTGCAGTCCATCTAATAGCCCACGCAAGCATTGTCTCACGCCATTGCGCTAAGTTTGCCGGCTTGCTGATTCTATGGCCCTCGTCGGGAAAGAGGAGAAGCTGAGAGGGAACACCTCTGATCTGACATGCATGGTACGCCGCCAGTGTCTCAGAAACCGGCACGCGATAATCGACATCTCCACAGGTAAAAAGCATCGGCACAGTCCACTTGTCGCAGAACAGACTGGGATCCCATCTATCCCACTCCGCACGACCCTCCCAGGGAAAACATCCAAAGTCTTGGCGGTAAATTAGAGGAAAGTCTCCGGCCATCAAATTGCGGGGGGAAAAGACGCCGCCATGGACAATCAGGGCGCAGAATCGTCTCGAAAGCTCTTGCCCAGCAAGCCAGTTAATGAGGTATCCGCCATAGCTGTAGCCCGCCCCGATGACGCGTGAAAGATCGGCAAAGGGCATTGATGCTTCGATAAAAGAGATAAGATATTCTAGATCCCTCAATGGAGAGCCGCCCCAGTCTTTGTAGATAGACAGCGCGAAGGGCAGCCCGAACCCCGTTGAACCGCGGATATTAGGCGTGATGACAACAAAGCCCTGGGACGTCCAGGCTAGATGATTCCAGGTTGCTAGCCAGCAGTCCCTCCACGCGTCGTTCGGGCCACCGTGGACGATGATAACAACGGGGTATCGCGTATCCTCCGTGAAATGGGCAGGTTTGTGGATGAAGGCCTGCACCATCAAGCCGCCAGCAGAAGGGAAGTAGAACTGATCTGAAATGGCTGGCGGCTGCGGAACGCGATATTCGTCCACTGTTTGAATGTGAAGCTGTGACGTGGCGTCTTCGGTGACGATCTCAACAACACCTGCCCTCTGGAACGTAGACCTAGAGACAAGAAGTTCGTCCCTGACGCTGGGCGGTCCTAAGCAGCATAGAAATGTGGTGGATCCGTGTTCGAGAAGCGGCTTTGCCAATGCTTTGATAATGCCTCGGTCCTGTTCCGGGAACATGTTTATTTTCCATACACCCATCTGCCCCTCTGCATCAACGACAGCATAGAGGACATCGAGGTTGCTGGAGGACCTAAACACCGAAACAATCCGAGGATCCCATATCCGAGGCTTGCTGTTCTCAGAAGGCTTTGAAATATGAACGTGGCGTATTTCTCGGTCTCCCTCCAGGTCAGCGACAAAAATAGATTCGTGGCCAAAACAAGCATCTGCACATTTCGACATCAGGAGAACAACAGAGAGCCCGTCGTTAGAGAACGAGAAGGAGCTTGGTGATCCTGTCCACTCATCCCAACCAAGACTTTGAGGCGGGGCAGTCCTGCATTGGTTCTGCCAGTCCATGCGGAGGAAATATAGTTTGTTTCCCAGTGGGTAAAGTTTGAGAAACTCAGGGCTAGCCGCCCGAACTAGAAGCCCGTATGGACCAACTTCGAAACTATCGTCGACCACATGCAGGGGTGTTCCTATGCTCAGGCCCAGACCCTCTAGAATCGACTTTGAGCCCTCCGTGGACATCTCGTACCAAGAGCCGTTTTTGGTCATCCGTGTGAGATAGATGTTTGGTTCATGTCCGTGGTCGGGAAGATACGAGCGACCGAACCGAATGGGGAGGGATTCGTACAACCTCCCAGAGCCCTTTATTCCATGCTTCTGATCCCCTCCGCTGGGACCGCCATCGTTCGATGCAAAGACCAGCGCAAAGACTGTCTCTGAAATCTTGTGCGACTTGATACTCGAGACACTCGGTAATAAACAACCAGCAGTGCGTGGTCTTATCATGGCCTGTAAGTTAGCCAGCTTGGAGCTTACACTTAGCGGGTTAAAGAATCTTACGTAAAATCAGGGCCAGATACATCGAGAAACCACATGCTTGTCTTGCTCCCGTCATTGGTCCCCCAGAGCAGCACGGATTCTTCCAGCCAAATGGGAGAGACATCTGCATGTATGTCGGCGAGAAAAAAGGCTTCTCCAGTAAGCGTTGTCTTGACGGTATGCACTATGGTTGTTGCATTCAATGTCTCATCGTAGATGCTGTCGATGAGGAGTACGTAATGACCGTTGCAGCTGGGAATAACCCGTAACCTGCATGGAACTTCGGCGAGGGCTCTATCCATGGCGTTGGAATTCCAAAGGCACCATGCCTAGATGAAGATACTAGCATGAACAGAGACGTGATGCTGGAGTGCTTGAAATATATTGGCAAGAGCTTTGAAGGCAACAGTCATATTAGGTTGGATCCGGTGTAACATATATTTCAACCGTCTCACTGTGGCCCGCAATAAGATTACACGCCACTTCTACCCTTACAAGCATTATGTAGTTGTGCTCTAATATTAGGTTACGTCATGTTTCGGCAGTATACTGCCATTATTCTACATATGTGATACAAGTACGTTAAGTAGTAGATCAATACAAAAGCTTGTAGGATATTATCGTAGGAGTATATATATAAATCGTACACCAAGCGTAACAGCTACAGTGCTAAGTTTAAGCTACCAGTTAACTAGGTAAGTAGCAACAGTGTTAGAGTTCTTAACAGAATTTGGGTACGAGTCACGACTAGTTAGGAGTAGTAATAATAGATTTTACCTCATAGAATCAGTTATTCCTTGCATCCAGCGTGAAAAGAGGTATATAAAGGAGTTTTCCTCCGCCTTACTTCTAGAAATTTTCATAACGTCTCATCCGAGTAATTTCATGTCCAAGAATTCTTATTTAAATTAGGAACCGGGCTCAGTATCAATCATGTTCTTGAAGGTAACTGCTTTACCTACCCTTAGTACCTCTCTTGAAAAATAGTCTCTAATGAGGCTCAGAATGCTGGCATGGAGCCTGAGGGCACACTCCTCGTCAACGAGGCTCAGTACGCAGGTGTCAAGTCTGAGGATTTCGTCTTCATCAACGAGGCTCAGTACGCAGGTGTCAAGTCTGAGGATTTCGTCTTCATCAACGAGGCTCAGTACGCAGGTGTCAAGTCTGAGGATTTCGTCTTCATCAACGAGGCTCAGTACGCAGGTGTCAAGTCTGAGGATCTTGTCTCCATCAACGAGGCTCAGTATACTCGCTGAGGTATATGTATAAAACTGATGAATCTTGGAAAAAGAAATGTGATTTAAATGTAGTAGGATGTTGTTCTAAATAAAACTTGTTCGTCCGATTTTCATCTGCCTTGTTCCTATGGGGGTTTAGAGCGACTATATTCATCAACATATTTTTCTCCTCTGTTTTTTCCCCCTCACATATAGCATCGCATCTAAATCACTAGAGAAAGTGAGCAATAGAGAAACGTAGGATGTAAAACAGTAGGGGATGTAACTCAAATACCCTGCGTATGCACCACCCCCACATTTGCACCACTCTAAAACAGTAGATTCCCACCAAAATACACTATATTTTCTAGCCTTAGGAATCTACTATAGTTAAGCGATAGAATTTAAGAAAGAAATCTTATAAAATACTTTAGTTATATTGCTATCTTTTCTATATATATATACTATTTTTAGACCTTTATATAACTAAGTACTAGTAGTAAATACTTAAGGATTCTTTTTTACTAAGAAAATCTTAGTATTTTCTAAAACTCTAGAAATCTTAATAAATACTTATATAGTAAAGCTAAAAGTCTATAAAAAATAGTATAAGCTTTATAATAGCTTATATATATAAAAGTACTATATGTAGTATATATAGCTACTATATATAAATTTACTTACTTTTTATATAGAGTATAAAACTAAGAAGATATATTTTTTAAAATATCTAGCTATATATAAGATATAAATTTTTTCTTTACTTATACTATATACTATAGTACTTATATACTACTTAGTATATAGAAGGTTTACTATACTATATAATAATAGAACTATAATACTAAGTTAAAGTAATAATAGTTATACTTTACTTTTAAAAAGTCTTCTAATAATAATATTATAAGTTATATAACTTAAAGTATATACTATACTATACTCCTTTTTTACTAGGTTTTAATAATATACTTTACTAGCTTATATCTATAGTATATAATATAAAAGACTAGTAAATACTTAAGAATAATATATATATATAGTAAGTTATATATTATAGTAAGTTATATATATCTACTTACCTTTCTATTATTTTAATAAGTTAGTTTAACTAGATTATATAAAATTAATTAAAAATATATATTACCTTATTCTTTATTATTATCCTAAACTACCTTATAGGTTTATTATTACATAGGATATTACTAACTAATACTATTTTCTAGAATAATATTACTTATTAATTTAACCTTTACTCTTAAATATAAATACTTATAGTAGAATTTACTAAGTAAGGTAATATTTAAGGAACATAGATTATAGTACTATAAATAAAAGAAATAAGCTACTTTTAACTATATAAATTACCTTTTAAATATATTACTTAATAATAGTTATAAGCCTAGCTTTAACTTAATTTATAAGTAATAATAACCTTTACTATTATAAAGTAGTATATACTTAGAAATAGCTTTCTTAAAACTAATACTCTTTTTTAACTTTATCTTATACCTATAATACCTTTAGAAGTTATAGTATATTTATTAACTAATATTTACCTTTATAGCCTTTTAACTATATATAAAGATTAGTTTTTATAGTATATAAAGCTTTACTTTTATACTACCTAATATAAAGTCTAGTAATTTATAAATCTAGATAGTAAAAAGAAGCTCCCTAAGTACCTTAGAGTACCTATACTAGCTAAATATATTATAAAGTAAAACACTAAGCACTAAAGGTAATATAAAGCTAACCTTATAAGCTAAAATAACCTCTTAGTTAGCTAGTAAGTAAAGTAATAAGGCTAAGAGCTTATTTAGCTAGTAGTACTAACTATTAATAATAAAGTAATAAAGTAAAAATAAATTATTATTATAAGTAATTTATTTTTTACTAAGCTAAAGATATATAAATAATAAAAAGTAAATAACTTATTATTAAGTTAAGTTAATACTATAGTTATAAAAAAGATTATAAAAAGTATATAGCTATAATTACTAAATAATAATATTAACTTTACTTTTTATACTACTATTTTAGAGATTAAATAATAATATACTTCTTTTTATAAAATAGTAAGTAATATAGCTTATAATAATTATAATAAGACTTTTATATATACTTTTTTAATAAATAACTTATTTACTTAGCTTAAAAAATAGTATACTACCTTAATAAAGGTTATATTATACTACCTATATATTATCTTTTAATTTAAGGTAGATATTATAAAAGAGGTATTTTAAGGTAATAAGCTTTTTAGTTATATAGTTAAGAGTAAAAAGCTTAGCTTTAGTTATTAATATTATAACTATTACTTAGTAAGTTACTTTTTAATAAATTAGGCTACTAAAGAAATATATAATATACCTTTAAAATAACTAGTAAGTAATTATATTATTAGTAAAAGAAGTATTATTTATATAAAGAAGTTATATACCTCTTAAGATACTAAAGTATATTAATAAATATAAAGTATAAAGAAGGTATTAAATATACTACTTTACTATTTAAATATAGTGTACACTTAGGTTTATTAGGTACCTAGAGAAAAGTAAGTAAGTAAATACTATATTTAGCTAGATTATTATAGTAGTATATAGGATTAATCTAACTGTCTTTTATAATAGGTTTACCTTTACTAGTATTACTATTCCTTTATTTTTAAGAAAGTCTATTATTAGTAATAGTATTATAAAAGAAATCTTATTTATATACTTAAACTTTATAGCTATATTATAAATATATTAGTTATAGTAGAAATATATCTTCTAGTTAGGTCTATTATATATAATATAAATACCTAGCTACTACTTTACTTCTCTAAGGTCCTTTATTTTATATACCTTTTTTAGCCTTATAATAATTACTTCTTTTACTTTTTTACTCTCTTTTAGGTATATAATAATAATATTATTAATATAAAAGAGTATATATAAGGTATACTCCTTAGAAATAAAGAGACAAAGGTCTTTCTTTAATAATAAGAGCCTTAGGCTTTTTAGTGTCTTTATAAACTCCTTAAACTAAAGAAAAGATATATTATATAACCTATATAAGGCCTATATAATAGATACTACTTTTTCTTTTTACTAATAACTTAGTAATAACTTATAGTATACTAGCTTTTCTAATAAGTCTTTTTTAGTATTAAGAAATATATTAACTATATTAAGTTACTTAACCTTAAAGTTAAATTATATAGTAATAGCTATTATTATATAAAAGGTTTATATTATAAAGGTTACTATATATATTTAAAAAAAGAGGTTCTTTTTTATATATCCCCTTTTATAATAACTTATACTTTACTATAGTTAAGATATTCTTTTAGATCTTACTTATATATCTATACTTACTTTAATAAGAGAAGCCTTATTCTTAGTAGTAAATCTTACTTATTAATTACGTTAAATACCTTAAGATACCTTAGTTCTATAATTTTATAATCTATTACTTATTATAGTAGTTAATAAAGGTCTAGAGGTATTTTAATTAACTTCTTTAGTGTCTATAGTAGTCTTATAAGATTATTATAATAATATTACTTCTTATTTAATATTTATAGTATATAATAAGTTATTAGCTTATATATTACTATATTTACTATAGTATATAGTATATAATATCTATTACTTACTTTAGTTTTTACTTTTTATTAATTATTTAAGAAGGCTATAAAGAAGCTTTTAAGGCTTAGTCTTTTCTTTTAACTAAGGGATAAGAAGAATACCCCCTTAGAGGTTACTAGTAGATATTTTACTCTTAGTCTATACTTTAGTATACTATAATTAACTATACTTATATATACTAGAGGGCGCCTTTATTATTAGCTTATTCTTATTTTTTAGCTTTATTTTTCTTAGCTTAGACTATTAGGTTAATTATATAGCTATATATTAATCTATATATTTTTTACTATTTTAGAACACTAGTTATTATTTAGTAGTATAAAGGTTAAAGAACCTCTTTTATATAAGGTTATAATCTTTTTATACTATAGTACTTAGCCTTATTATATAATCTTACTACTTAACTATTATTAAGTATTATACCTAGTTAACTAATTTTAGAGGATAAAGTAGTCTTAGTATTTAGATTACTAGGGCCTAGTGTTAACTTAGAAGTCTATACTTTTTCTTTTTCTCTTATAGTAATACCTTAGTTATATTACTTAATATCTTAAGTAATTACTTTAGTATTACTTAATAAAGGATTATTATTCTATATTATAGTAACTATTATTTTAAATATTATTATTATTACTTTTATTAACCTAAGTATATTTATTATTATATTCTACTTATAGTCTTTATCTTTAATAATTTTAACTATACTTTTTACTTTTAATTTTATTATTATATTACTTTTTTTATTTTTATTTTAAAAGTAATTTATTTTATTAAAGTATATATTATATATAATAATTACTTTATATAGTAAAGGTACCTAAATTCTATAAAGGTTATATATATTTTATATATATTTTACTAAGTATTTAATATACTCTTATAGTTTAACTTTAAATTATCTTTTTTAAATACTTTTCTTATAGTTACTTATTAATAGATAAGCCTAGTATTTATATATATATATATTTATCTTTAGTAAGAATAAAGGTTATACTATAATACTACTATATATACTACTGCTTACTAGTAAAAGTACTATTTAAACTAAGCCTCTTTTTTCTTAATAAGTAAAGTCTAGTTATAATATTAGAGAGGGCTTATATTATATATATAGATTACTATAAGTACTACCTCTAGCTATAGTTTATAAAGTAGTCTAGAGGACAAAAGTATCTTTATTATATAAGTAATAATCTTTTACTTTACTTTTTTTTTACTACTTATAGGCTTTTTAATATTTAGTAAAAAGAGTTCTATATTTATCTTAAGCTTTACTATCTACCTTTTATACTTTATATTTTCTTTAATACTAATAACTAATATATCTTTATCTTAGTAGATCTTATAAATATTAACCTTTTACTACTAAGTAACCTAAGTAATAAATCTATAAATAACTAAGAATATATTATTATAGGTCTTTTTAAAAAGTATAACTTTAAAAAGCTAAGTAGTATACTTATCTCTTAAGTATATAAGCTACTTTAAGTAGTTAAATCTAGTTAAGAAGTTAAAAAGATCTTAAGAGATATAATAATATAAATAAATTAAGTAGTCTTTAGAGGCTTACTTTAAAATTACTTTATTTATATAAGTAATAGTATAATACTTATATTTAATATAAAATAGTCCTTTAATTTTTACCCTCTAAGTATTAACCTAGAGTATTATAAGTGCTTTAGGCCTTAGATACTTACTTTAAAGGTACTAAAAGTAAACGTTATTACTATAGTCTACTAGTGTATTTATTAATAAATAAAATATAGTTATAAACACTTATATATTTACTAGTAAAGTAAAACTATAAAGAATAAGGCTATATAATAGCCTAAGGTAAAAAAAGAGAGGTTTATATTTAAGAAAATAAGGTTACCTTTATATACTAGCTTCTTTATAGTTATATCCTTCTTAGGCGTTCTAAAGTAAAAAGTATAGTTATATCCTTAATACTATACCTTTGCTTTCTTAATTAGACCTTCTAAAGTAATATTAATATAAAATCTAGGAATAAAGGCTATATTCTTTAGCCTAAGATCCTTTATACCTAGCCCTCTTACGCTATTAAGGAGGTTCTTTATAATATATATACTATATTCTTTATAAAGTAGAATATTATACTTAATTTAATATAATAATTATTTATATTTATTTTATAGAAGCTAGGCTTAAGAAGTAACTTATTATTTATAATATAAAGGCCTTTATAGTTATTAAGAATAGTACTTTTACTAAAAGTATATAAACTAATAAGTAAGGTTAAGAATATACTAAAAGTTAAAGAAAAGCTACTAAGGTTTTACTAAATAAGTAAAGGTTAATAATAACTATAATAAAAGTACCTTATAAGTAAAAAAAGGTTAAATTCTTCTTTTTTTATTTCTTTTATACTTTACTCTTAAGGTTTAACTATTTTAGCTTTAAAAGCTCTATAATAATAGCCTTTACTACTTACTTACTTAAGTTTACTTAAATAATCTTTAACTTACTAAAAAGTATATACTTAATATACTTATAGTTAATAAGTTTTTATAAGTAATTAGCCCTTTTATAAAGGTATTTAAAGTACTACTTCTTATTTTATAGTGTACTTTTTTTTATAAAGGTTATATATACTTTTATTACTTTATAAGATTCTATAAGTATTATTTATAGTAAATAACTTAGTAACTTACTATATTCTCTTAAGGTTATTTATTATTCTTTATATTATTTAGTCTTTATAAAGTTATTTAGCTTACTACTTACTTAAGAGAAAGTAATTTACTACTTTATAATTTATAAGAAGGTCTTAATTAGGAAAATACCTTAGATCTTAAGGATACTATATACTTTAGCCTTTATTAAGGTAGTATACTATTCTTTAAGCTAAGTAAATAGGGTATTTATTAAAAAGTATATATAAGAATCTTATTATAATTATTATAAGCTATATTACTTACTATATTATAAAAAAAAGTATATTATTATTTAATTTTTAAAATAGTAGTATAAAAAGTAAAGTTAATATTATTATTTAGTAATTATAGCTATATACTTTTTATAATCTCCTTTATAACTATAGTATTAACCTAACTTAATAATAGGTTATTTATTTTTTACTATTTATATATCTTTAGCTTAGTAAAAAATAAATTACTTATAGTAATAATCTATTTTTACTTTATTACTTTATTATTAATAGTTAGTACTAGTAGCTAAATAAGCTTTTAGCTTTACTACTTTATTTACTAGCTAACTAAGAAGTTATTTTAGCTTATAAGGTTAGCTTTATATTACCTTTAGTGCTTAGTGTTTTACTTTATAATATATTTAGCTAGTATAGGTACTTTAAGGTGCTTAAGGAGCTTCTCTTTACTATTTAGATTAATAAATTACTAGACTTTATATTAAGAGGTATAAAAGTAAAGCTTTATATACTATAAGAACTAATCTTTGTATATAGTTAAAAAGCTATAAAGATAAGTATTAGTTAGTAGACTTACTATTACTTCTAAAGGTATTATAGGTATAAAATAAGTTTAAGAAAAAGTATTAGTTTTAAGAAAAGTATTTCTAAGTATATACTACTTTATAATAGTAAAAGCTATTATTACTTATAAATTAAGTTAAAGCTAGGCTTATAACTATTATTATATAGTATATTTAAGAAGTAATTTATATAGTTAAAAGTAGCTTATTTTTTTTATTTATAGTACTATAATCTATATTCCTTAAATATTACTTTACTTAGTAAATTCTACTATAAGTATTTATATTTAGGAGTAAGGGTTAGATTAATAAGCAACGTTGTTCTAGAAAGTAGTATTAGTTAGTAATATCTTATATAATACTAACTAACACTACTTTTTAGAATAACGTTACTTATTAATTTAACCTTTACTCTTAAATATAGATACTTATAGTAGAATCTACTAAGTAAGGTAATATTTAAAGAATATAGATTATAATACTATAAATAAAAGAAATAAGCTACTTTTAACTATATAAATTACCTCTTAAATATACTACTTAATAATATTTATATATTATATTTAGTCTTTTTATAATTACTATATTATTATATAAGTAATTTACTACTTTCTATATAACCTCCCCTTTAAGATATTTTCTTACCTTTAGCTTTAATAACTTTCTTTTTTCTTTATAGTGCCTTTACTTTAACTATATTAAGTAATTCTCTAAGATATAGTTAGGTCTTTTTAGCCCTCTAGTACTTACTAAGTACCTTTATTCTTATATAAAGTTTATAGTTCTTTACTTTAATAATAGTAAGTTAATATACTAATTTACTAATACTTTTTAACTATAAGTTAATTACCTTATATATTAGTATTAGTAAACTTCCTTAATACTTTCTAATCTTTTTTTTACTAAAGTAAAGCTTTATATACCCTTAAGTACTATTATTAGTGTCTTTAGGTCTTATAAGCCTAAGCTTCTTAGATATAAGTTTATTAGTGTTAGTGTCTTTAGCTTAAAATCTAGGTAAAAAATAATAACTTTAGAATTAAAGGGTATAAGACTAGCCTATTAAAAACCTACTTATATATTAACTTTACTTATTAAAGTACAAAATACTACTTTAAAAGTAAAAAAGAAGTTATCTTTAGTAATATATATAATTATAATAGGATTAGGTAGTGTACTAACGCCTAATAATAGACTATTTTAGTAACTACTAAAAGATCTACTAGTTCTAGCACTATATGCTAGAACTACACTATATATAACCTTATAAGGCGCTCTATTGCCGACCTATCGGCAATATCTTTACAATTGCCCCCCTTCTAATGCAACAAGAGAACAGTTCATAGGGGGGTATTCTAGCTTTAGGGGGGGGTATCTGTTATAGGGCCGAAAAGTTAGGGCAGGGGTATTAGCAAGGGACCTATAGAGTTATACAAAGTTAATATATATAAAAATAAAAGGCAGTTACACTATACACATAGTAAAGAATTTTTAATTAAGCGCTAGTGCTTATTATATAACTTTATTTATATATCTACTCTAGGCTTAGTATTAACTTACTCTTAGTATATACTAAGCTTTAGCTTAGTAAATTTCTTTTCCTCTTTTTTCTTTTCTTTAAACTATTACTAACTTATGCAGTAGTAGTAATAGTAATAGTAATAGTAATAGTAAAGTATTTTCTTAATCTATTTTTATTATATTTTTAGTATATACTAATAATATTCTAGATATCTACTAACTATATAAACTTTAGTATCTCTAATACTAATAATCTTAGTAACTTTAGTTATTACTATAGTAAGTATATATATAATCCTTATTAAGTTATAATAAGGTATATACTAATTTAATATAAGACTTATTCTTAACCTAAACTATAGCTAGGTCCCCTCTAGTATAACCTTTATTCTTTACTTATATAATATATATATAGGGCACTAACTTATTATATATAGACATCTAGAAGCTTTATAATACTAGTTATACTTATATATTCTTAGCTTTATTTAAATATATATTTAGTATATACTACCTTTATTCTTAATAGATACTATTATTACTAAGATAAATACTAGTATATTAATTTATAAAAGACTAGGAATATTACTAGTATATACTTATTATATACCTAGCTATACCTAACTAAGGTAATAGACTTTCTTTAATTAATACTAAAGTATAGGTAGATATAGATCTAGTGTTTACTAGGTATATATTAACTTTATACCTAGCTATAATATTATTATTAATCTTAACACTAATACTATATATAGTACTATTATTACCTTTTAGCCTATAGTATATATACACTAAGTATATACTAGAACTATACTAATATAATACCTAGCTTTACTACTATATTTACTTTACTTACCTTAGCACTTATAAGTATATATCCTTAGTATATATAGAGTATATACTAATTATATACTAGTTATTAATTTTATTTATATTAATACTAGTATTAGTAAGAAGTCTATTAGTAAATAGTATATTTTTTATATATACTAGACTATTAACTTAATATTTACTAGGTATATACTAATACTATACTAGGGCTATTTAGAACTAAGTCTACTCTAGTAGTTAATATAATACTAATTATATTTATAAGCCTATATATATTCTCTACCTAGTCTTAGTATATACTTTACTAACACTTTATTAGCGCTAGACCTACTAGTAGTCTTATTAAGACCTATACTAACGCTATAGAGGAGTTAGTGTAAGTATATTCTTCCCTTATACTTTATATATACTAAATTAACGCTTTACTTTAGCTAAAATAATACTAACTTTACTACTACTTATAGTACTTACTTTTACTACTTTATAAGTATATAATCTAAGTATATACTTAGTATAAACCTAGAGGATACTATTTATTTTACTATTTATTATAATTTATCCTTTAATATACTAATAATCCCTAGGTACTATATTATAGTATTAAACTATAGTAAGAGGTTATTATAGAGAAAGTACTATAAGATAATTTAGTATTTACTTTTAATAAGTAAAGTATACTCTTAGTATATATAAAGAATAAGTCTAGAACATATTCTATACTATTAACCTTATAATAAATCTAAGCTATATTAGAACTAACTTTAACTAAATATTATTAAGGAATATAAATAGTATATACTAAACACTTACTATATATATAGAGGATACTAATATAGAAATAGTATAGTAGTTTAGCTCCCCTTTTTTTATATAAGCGTAAAAATATAAGTTTAATTTAGTACTTCTCTAGTATATACTTAGTATATACTTATATAATATAGTGTTACTTTAGCTATAAGAAGTCCCCTAAGACCTTAACTAAGTAGTGCCCTACTGCTTTAAAGAAGAAGCTAAGTATATTCTTAGTATTAACCTAGTATATATATAGTACTAACCTATTTAGCCTTATATAAGAAGGCTCTAGCTACCCTTACTACCTATAAGACTTATAAGTATCTTAGTATTATCTTAGTATATATATAGCTAACACTTAGTAGGCTCCTAGAAGTAGTAAAGTATTTAAGAGGAGATTACCTTTAAAGAGAATATTAACTAGAATAATATTTAAGTATATACTAAGCACTTTTTTTATATAAGTTACTACTACTTTTAGTATATACTAAGAAAAAGCTAAGATAATAATAAGATAAGATATAAGTAATATATTAGCTAAATATTTTCTTAGTATATACTAGATTAGTACTATATATTAAGGTAATTAAAATATAAATAGTACTCTATATATACTACTTACTTTATTTTTTACTTAGATTTTACTTAAGTTATATAGCTTTTACCTTTAAGTCTTAGATATACTTCTCTTGCTATAGCCTTTTTACTTTATACTTAAGCTTTTAAATCCTAAGTTTATTTTACTCTCTTTTAGTATAAATATATTATTACTAAGAATAGGCTTATATTCTTTAGATAAATATAGAAACCTTTTATTAGCCTATTAATTAAGAGTAAGTAGTATACTTCTATAAATATATATAAGATCTAGATAGTAATAATACTAGTAAGGATAAAGATAATACTAGAGATAATACTAGCAAGAGTAAAGATAATACTAAGACTAAGGTCTAGGTATATAGAGAGGATACTTAGGATATATAGACTATATACTAAGACTTTACCTTTAATATAATCTAGCTTACCTTACTTCCTTTTAACCTATTATCCTTATTATCTTTAATACTAAGTATTAGTATATTATATAGATTATATAGATTAAATAGGAAGGTTAGGTTATTTTAGTGTTATTAGGCCTAAATAGCCTACTTCTTTTATGTTTTTTCTAGTGCCTAGGTATAGTATACTACCTAGGTCTAATTTTACTAAGAAGACTTAATACTAGTAAGAGCTTTAGTTCTTACTTTTATTACTTATTAAAATATATAAAGCTAAAGTCTAGCTTATAGTTAGTATATACTTAGTATATATAAAGGATATACTATACTATATAATAGTAGCAAGAAGCTAAAGCCTTTTTTTAATAGCCTAATTATTTTAATTATAGCTAGATTTAACTATATTATTATACTTCTAAGCTAATACCTTAGCTTTAGGATTAATATTACTAATCTATAATATAAGCCTATATATAATCTATTTAGCCTTTTTACCTATAAACTATAACTTAGTCTTAGGATATTAAGAGGTAATACTTATAATATACTTAGTATATACTAAAGCTATACTAGACTCCTATAATCTCTAAAGCTTATACTTAGCTATATAATTAAAGAACTTTTTATACTAATTTTACTATATATAAACTTAATAAAAGATTAGGATATAGTAGAGGTATATATCCTAAGTCTTTAAAGAATCTAGCTTTATAAGGTAGTCCCTAAGACCTAGTATTTAGTTAGTATAGCTTTAGTATATATATAGTATATAATTAGTATATACTAAACTTACCTCCTACTTATTTCTTATTTATATCTATAGTAATTATATAGATTAGAGAATACTTAGATAAATTAATATAGTACTAGCTTTTATATATACTAGAAGCCTTATAAAGCTCCTTAAAGTACTATAAAAATAGTACTTTATATTTATTTTATAAGTGCTAGTTAGTCTAGGTATAGATATATAAGTTAATTTTATATATTATTAGTGTATACTCTAAGTATATACTATATATAAGGTCTATATAGACTAAATATACTCTAAGTCTTTATGTTTTACCTATATATCTTAAAAGTGTTAGTTTCTCTTTTAACTATCTTAAAAGATAAATTAACCTTAAGAAATTAGGCCTTTAAGAAGGCTTAAGCTTATATATACTTAATATAGATAATAATAAATCTACTATTTAGTCTAGAGGTAACCCTATAAATCTATTAATCCTTCTTTAATCTTTATTTATTAAAGGTATATTTATATAGAACACCTAGTATATAGTTAGTATATCCTTAGTATATACTAGGTATAGGCTATACCTAGTTTAGTATAAAGTATATACTAGTAAAACTATAACTAGCTAGAAACTTAAGTAAGTGTACTCTATAGATAAAAATACTAATAATATCCTTATTCTTTAAGGCTATATAAATAGCCTTAAATAAGCTTACACTAAACTTTTAGTATACCTCCTAAATCCCTAGATTTATAAGGAGTAGACCTATATATATTTAGTCTATATATAAGATATACTAAGTATATACTATACTTATATAGTATTAAAGTTATAATATCTAGCTTATCCTTTAGGCTTAATATAATATATTCTAAAAGCTAAGATAAAAAGTTATTAGTAAAGGTAAAATATAGTATAAGACCCTTAGTAAAGAAGGAGAATAAATAAGAAGTAGACCTAGTTAATAAGGATATAGATATCTATTTTAATACTATACTTATACTTCTAGATAGTTCTAATACCTATACTAGCTAGATATAAGTAGTCTATAGGTTTAGCTAAGGTTAGTATATAGTAAGTATATACTATATATATACTTACTATATATTTATCTTATACTTAATATCTTCTTAGCCTAAATATACTTATTACTTTAGCTATATAGTTAACTTATTAAGTAAAGCTAATATAAATACTTAATATTAATCTAGCTCTAGGGCATAGAATACTATATATAGTATACTAGGGCTTTATATTACTTAACTATTTATAACTAATATAAGTAATCTAGAAATAAATATAATTAATACTTAGTACTAGTATATACTTAGTATATATATACTTTATTCTAAGTAAAGACCTTAAAGCTCTGTTCTTAGTAAGTATAGATGTCTTAGTCCTTATTTTAACTAGGCTACTTATAAAGGTAATTTACTTACTAATAGCCTTAAATTAACTTAAAGTATCTAAATAAGGTTATTTTAGTATATAATTAGTACTCTCTTAGTATATATAGGATAAGTATAATATATACTTTAGTCTAAGATTAATATTCTCTTTAAGTGTTAAGTAATTTTAACCTTTTAGTTTTTTATAAAGCTTTTAATATACTTAGATAGCCTTCCCTTATTATAAAGCTAATTAGGCCTTAGAAAAGACTTAGAGATAAATTTATAGTGTTTAACCTTACTATATACAAGGATTAATACTAACTTTATTATTCCTAGGTATATCTCTAGAATATAATTAGTATATACTTAGGATATATTAATATATATTAAGAGAGTGTTACCTAAATACTAAATATAATTACTTAATATATACTTCTTATAATATACTAAGTATTAGATAGTGTCTAAAAGTGCTTTAATAAGCTTTTAGCCTTAGCCTTAGTTATATTCTCTTTATAAGTAAAAATATAATATAGTAAAGTATTTTATCTCTAAAGTTAGTAAATAAAGTAGTAAGTAAAATAGTCTTAAATAGACTTTATAGTAGTTCTAGCTCTTCTTTATAGTTAAAAAGATACTAAACTACTTAATTAAGTCCTAGTATATATTTAGTATATATATAATATATAAGAGTATATACTTAACTATACTTAGTTTAGCCTATATAATATAGTAGGTCTAGTATACTTAACCTACTACTTTAGTTATAGAATTAACTAAAAGTTATCTTATTAAGATTAATAAAGTAACTATTAATATTACTTAAAAACTTATAGTATTTATTTATTTACTAAGTATATATTAAGTATAGCTAGTATCTCTTAAGTACCTTAGTATTATTATCTTAATACTAAGGTACCTAGGTTATTTACCTAATCCTTATTATCTAATAAGTTAAAGAGTATAAAAGTAAAAAGTAAAACTATTATTACTACTTATATTATCTAGTATATTATCTATTACCTCTTAATATAAAGTAAATATATACTTAGAATATTATTAGCTTTAGTTAAGTATATACTAAAAAAAGCTTTTTATATTTTTTACTACTATTTTTTATACCTTCTTTTATTTCCTAATTTATAATTATTCTAGGGTTTTATCTTACTACTTTTTTAACTACTTCTTTTTCTTTTAGACTTATATAAATATTATATATATAGTATATATACACTATATATACTAAGAATATAATTTATTTATACTACCTATATAACTTACTATATAACTTATTCCTAAGTAAGGGATTAGTTAGTAGGGGGGTATTACTCTCTAGACTATCTATTATAACACTGTATTCTATAGATTTATAAATTATATAAGGCATACATAAGCCTATTACCCCCCCTGAACTTCTAGGGAGAATAGTTAGTAGGGGGGTATTCTAGCTTTAGGGGGGGGGGTATCTGTTGTAGGGCTGAAAAGTTTAGGGGGGGTAAAGTAGCTAGGGTTAGGGTTACTAGGCTTATTTAGGCTTAGCTTAGAGTGTGAGAAGTGCAAGAGCTTAAGTATATGCTAAATATATACTAAGTATATACTAATAAATATAGTACTTACCTTCTATAACTATAGAGGACTTAGACCTAAGTCTTCTAACTAAGTCCTCTATATTTATAGAAGGTAGACACTATATTTATTAGTATATACCTAGTATATACTTAGTATATCCTTCTTAATATAGTAACTAGCCTTTATAACTATAGTAGACTTAGACCTAAGTCTTCTAACTAAGTCCTTTATATTTATAGAAAGTAAACACTATATTATTAGTATATACTTAGTATATACGTAGTATATACTAAGTATGCTTTAGTTAGTTTTTTTTAATCTACACAGTGCTTAGGGCTTTACCCCCCCCTGAACTTCTGCCCTACTGGCTGGACACCCCCCCCCTGAAGCTGTAATACCCCCCTACCAACTGTCTACCCCCAATGCGACGCGTCCCGAGGAGCGCCCACACTAGCGCCGGTATCCGTGCGCTGGAGCACAAGGTCATGTGAACCCCGAAGGCCCTGGAGAAATTCAGATCTAAATGAATTCGACCAAAACAAAAGGTCAATTTAATTATTGCTAATGATAATACAGAAGGGAAAAACACCCCCTTAGTACTAACTGTTAGGTCCTGATTTTATGACCCATTAGTACATACCTGTACCTTCTATGTCCCCTACCAACAAGCATCGCCCACAATACTTCAGTTCTAACTCCTGATCACCCTCTAGGCAACAAGAACAGCTTAAACACTAAAAACCCTCCCAGACTTAGTCTCAACTCCTCAGCCCTAAACAAGTTCTCCCATCTACCTATTCGCTTTAATACTTATAAACCTAATGTGCCTTAAAGCATCCATTAGCTAACTAATCTACTCCCTCCCTTGATCTAGCAAGCCTCTCTAACTAAGTTATTTAGGGCCACTAGGTTGTAATCAGAGGTTTTACTAGCTAGGTGCTAATTAATTAGGTCAAATAGAGGGTGTATTTAGGCAAAGATTTACTAATTTATAGGTAATTTGCAGGTGATCTAAAGCTATTACTCTTAAGGCCATCTTAGGCTAAATTTAACTAATTTCTGTGCTAAATTAATTGATCTGAATAAATAGAAGTAGGCTGGGGCCTAATCTTCTGGGTTTCTGGAAGGGGAGACCAGAAATTCAGATCTGAATGAATTGGACTAAAACAAAAGGTTAATTTGATTGTTGCTAATGATGATGCAGAAGGGAAAACACCCCCTCAGTGCTGACTGTCAGGTCCTGATTTTATGACCCATTGGTACGTACCCGTACCTTCCACCTGGGCAGCCTGGCACCTGGCAATTGCCAGGTGTTGCCTCCCTGCACCTAGTCCCTCTGAGCCCAACGTAGGCTACTTCCCGTGTGCCAAGCTGAATCAAACGCTGTCGCCCTGTAGCCCAACCAGTCGCTGACCAACCGCCAGCCCCTGCCTCTCTGAGGTGGGCCTACACACCAAGAAGTCCTCAGCAACAGGCAGGAGTCGAACCCAGCCCCTGTTCCTACAGCCAGAAGACCCACGTAGTGCTAGAACAATTGTAATAGGATTAGGTGGTGTACTAACGCCTGACAATAGACTATTCCGGTAACTGCCAAAAGATCCGCCAGTTCTGGCACTATGTGCCAGAACTGCACTACATATGACCTTATAAGGCGCCTTATTATTGACCTATTAGTAATATCCTTATAATAATTTATATCTATATTATTTTCTTAATTTCTTTATTATATAAGTACTTTAAAGGGCTAAAATAGCTAATATTAAAAGGCTAAAGCTTAGATAATAAATAAAAAGGTATATATAAAGTAATAATTTTTTCTTTTTTATAGTAGTTATTAAATTTAGTTAATTTATAGCTATTATAGTTATCTAGGATTAGAAAGTAATAAGTACCCTTTATATAAGACTTTATATACTAATTAAAGTACTTTAGCTAATTTAGGCTAATCTTATTTATAGTCTATCTATTTTTACTTGAGTAAATATACTATATAGCTAGAAATTTACTATTAAAGTACTATAATAAAAAGTAATATTTACTTTTTATAATAATATATAAAGATATTACTTAGCTATCTATATATATACCTTAAATAATAAAAACTTATTTATAATTACTAAGTTACTTTATATAAGGCCTTCTATATTAGTTAGAAGTTATAATAACCTTTATATATAATAGTATTCTTATTAAGACCTTAGTCTTATTAGAATTATAAATATTATTATCTTATATTCTATACTTTATAATTATATCTTATATAAGTATAAACTAGCCTTATATAATTATAGGATCTTTAGCTAAGGCTCTTTAATAGTTAATTTAATATCAAAATTATATTTTTAATTAAAGTTATTACTATATAAAGTTCTTTACTTATTAGAGTTTAATATATATTCTATTATATATATTAAGAAGTTAATTAACTATTCTTATATATTTTCTTATTATAAAAGAAACTCTTAATTAATTAGGTTAATAACCTTTTTAAGAATTACTTTCTCTTTAGATATAGTTATCTTTATTAAATTTATATATGTTTTATATTATACTTTTTAGCTAGTGTATTAGTTATAAAGTATAGATTTAGGCACCTAGTAGATAGAGGCTACCTTTTATATAGATAGTTTTAGGTCTTTTTAGATAGCTATAAGTGTAAAGATAATCTAGGTTTTATAAGGAAAGGTTTTTATTATTATATATAAAGTAAAGTTAGTTTAAAGATAAAGGTAGTAGAAATAAGGTAGACGTATATAACTTACTATAATATATAACTTACTATATATATATATTATAGTAGTTTTACTATAATACTAAAGTTATTACTATATATATATAGACTATTATTTAGTCTTTATAAGCTTAGTAATTTACTTTTATAGTAATATAATTACTTTAGTATTTTACTATAATTTTATTTAGGTTTTTAGTTACTTATACTAATTTATATTTTATTTTTTAATAAATACCTTTATTTTAAGAATTAACTTTATTTATTACTTATATAAAAAGCTTAGTAAGCTAAAAAAGTTATAAAAAAATTCTTTTACTTTATATTATACTATATATAAGTTGTTTACCTAGAGGCCTAGTAATATAGGTAGTAAAAGTAAGAAGAAAGTAGTAGTGCTAGTAGTATAGATATAGGGGTAGTATATATATAGGGTATTTAAGTTATATAAAAAGTAAAGTTAGAGAGCAAGACATCTAAGCTAGTTGCCACAAGGTTATAGTAAGAGTAACTTTATTATTAAAATAGCTCTATTACTAGTAGTAAAACTCTAATATATAACTTAACTACCTTACTTCTAGCTACCCCCTATATCTAGCCTATTATTACTACTATTATTACTACTACTATTACTGCTTATTTTACTACCTCTACTGCCTACCTATATATAAATTCTAGCCTTACTAAGTAATTTAGATACACTAGATTTATCTAGACTATCTATATTACTAATATTTAGGGTTTACGCCTACTAGATATTATATATAGTAGTAAAGGTACTATTAAGTAATAAAGGGACCTTTTTTCTCTTATATTATTATAAGTTATTTAACTTACTCTCTAGCTAGTAGACCTTTTACTATAAAAATATATTTTTAAATACTTACTTATTATATCTTTTTTATATTCTTTTAGTTAAGTAATAAATAGTATAAGTATTTAACTTATTCTTTACTAACTAGTTTAACTAGTATAGTTAATACTATAATTTAGTATACTAATAAAAGGTTAACTATATAATAATAAATATAGCTTTGTTTTACTATTAACTACTAGGCTAACTAGTCTAGCTAGTCTATTAGTCCTTAGTAACTATAAGGTTAAATAAAGGCTACTATATATATATTAGCTATAGTCTAGTTAACCTTTAGTTACTTTTAATATTCTAGACTATTATAGCTATATCTTTAGCCTTTATATAATAGGCTAAAAATACCTTTTTAGTAATAATAGTTAAATTACTAACTTAGTTATCTAGATATTTAACCTCTTTTTAATAAGTATACTTTAATAAGCTAAAGACTAATATATTTAGTAGCTAAAGGATAATAAAAAAGTATAGTAGTAAATATAGTAAATATATATTATTCTAGAAGTATTTCTATATAAAGTCTATTAATATATAGTTATAATACTTATCTAGAATTAGTAGTTTAACTACCTTTAGCTTACTAAGTATAGTACCTAAGATAAAGACTTTTTTTAGTTACTTAAAGGTAGTCTTCTTAGTTATTTAGTTATTATTTATATATATAAAGTACTATCTTTTATATTTAGATAAGTTAAATAAAAAATACTAGGCCTAGACTAATTTACTTTTATATATAACTAGTAAGTATAAAGACTTCTTATTAGTAGCTATATACTTAATAATAGAGATTTATATCTAGTATTCTAGCTACTTTTTTTAAATATACTAAGATACTATAGAGCCTAACACTAGCCTATTAGATTCTTTACTCTTTATAATACTAGTCTTATCTATATTTTATTAGTTAAATAAATAGATTCCTTAAATAATAAGAATACTAGTTAAAAGCTAAAAAAACCCCTAGATAACCTTAAAAAATAAGCCTTTTATTACTAAGTATTAATTACTTTAGATTAATAAGTCTTAATTAATAAGTTTTATTATAGGAATTACTATATCTATTTTTTACTTAAAGGTTAATAAGTATTATAAGTATTACTTAGTATATACTTTACTAGGCCTTTTAGTTATTAATAAGTAGGTCTATTACCTAAGGTATACTAGGTTTATACTTATCCAGCTAAATAATTCTCTTAGGCTTAAAATAATTACTATATATAGTTATAAGTAGTATTTTTATTTTACTACTTATAGAATTAGTATTAAAGTGTCTAGTATAATATAGCCTATTTTTAAGTAGTATAGTAAATAAAGTAACTATTTACTATATTATTAAGGGCCTATTAGAGCTTATCTTTAGTATATTACTTTATTATAGGTTAGAGAAGGTATCCTAAAAAAATTTATTATTTAGATGTAAATAGATAATGTTGTAATAGTTTGAAAAAGGTAGTGGTGTTGATAAAGGAGGGGATTTTCGGATGTCTGGAGGTGGGGGATGTCTGGTTGCGGGGTAGTTGAGTTAAGGCTTTCACAAGGTGATATAGGCAACAATTGCAGCACAGCAGTTGTGGGTCCACTTTTGTGTTCTAGTGCCTTGTTCTCATTTGTCACAAAAGCATAAGAAAATACATGTTGAATCGAATCATTCTCATAAACTCATTTATCAAATACCACAAGAACCCGGACCTCGATACTCTGCCGGGGTCTAGAACACTTTCGCGGACCATCCTTCCAGAATGCTGTGTGAGGGCAATCTAGTAGTAGTAAGTTAGCCTTGGTCTGGCCGCAAGGCTCAATTCAGCCTGTGTAAGACCTACAACGGGTGTTTGAAGACTCATCCGTATCATGCTGCTTAAATAAGAGTGCCTCGTTAGGCTGCTGATTACTAACCCAGTACCACACCTGCTCTTTACAAGGTGCCGCGTAATTTGTCTGGCTAATGTAATCGGGAGTAATAATAAAGTCGCCGTGAATACACTTGTTGTGTTGAACCGTGGACGCATCGCAAATAGCGAGGCTACAATCCTCGACTGGATGATTTCTTGGTTTCCACACGCTAATGATTACCTGCGGTTAAGCTTGACTGCACTGTAGGTTTGACCTCTCTACTTACTTAATTATGAATACTCGTTTTGAGCGTAGAATCTCGTCTGCTTCTGATCCTAGCGTGGCGCGGATGCGTTTATCGCCGGCATAATAGTTACAATCTGCCATTAGTAAGATAAGACTACCGCCTATTGCGTGAAGGTAACCTGCTAGAGGTACGCATCTAGTCTCACCATTATGGACGTATGCATCCGGAGCAAGACTTTTTGAACCATTAACAGTCAAATCTGCAGTTTCGAACGGGTTCACTTTCGCTGCATCTCGAAACTATTTAGCTAGTTAGTGAAAATGAATCGATTTCGTTTATTTACCAAACACGATGTTAGCTTACCACCCAATTTAAAACTTGAACTCTTTCTGCTTTAATACCTTCTTCTTGAAGTGCATCACGGACAACCTGACAGACTTCGTCAAGGTATCCACCAGGTCGACTAAGTCTATCGTCATCTGTATCAGGCTGTTCAAAATCTTTCCGGACTAGTTTCAGTCCGTTCCCGTTGATCGTGACCTGGCCAGACGGCAGACCTCTCAGGTCTGTAACCTTTTCAAAAGGTCCATACTCAAAGACAAGGTTGGATGTTGGAAACTTCTCATCGACCTTACAAGCGATAACGTAAGGGCGGAGGATATTGTAGATATTGCATCGCTTTAGATATTTCAGCCGAACGGTTAAGTCTTGAGGAGAACCCGCCATTTGAGTGACCAAGACGATATGAGCTTAGATTAAAGAAAATATCGAGTTTCTCTGGATGTGGAAGTAGAATGTGAGAAGAAGAGGGGCTAACAGTAAAGATAACGAACTGATAATGTCATGATGCCGCGTGATATTTACTGTCTACATAGGTCAATGCATATACCAGTTCCTAGGTTAGTACATTGTACCCCCTGGGAGTGTTCTGGTCAGAGCAAACTTTCTATGACTAAAGTTCCATACCATTAGGGCAAATATTGTACATAAACTATCTACCTAGTACCCCTCTTCTGACAGCTAGCCGCCTTAAGCCAAAACGTAAGATAATAGTTTTGTGTGCAAGATGTACTAGGAGGAACGGAAATCTAATTCTTTCGGTAAGAAACCTATGTGAGGGGTAAGTAACCATGCTGGATATTTAACGACGAAATCTGTTAAAGCTTCTTGTTTTATGCTTTACCCTATCAAAGTTACCCTGTATCAACTGCTGAGATTTGAAACCAACGCCGCGTGAAACCAGAAGAAAGTTTGAAACCTCTCGGGTCTTGGAGACTTTCACCAGGTAGGACCAGACCGCCTAGTATTGCATAGTAACCGAGATCATAGGAAGTAATAAGAGAGACTCAAAGGTTCAAGGGATAACTTGATCCGTCGTCATGCATTAAAACCTTTACTTCAAGCTGACCTCTATCGTTCTAAAGCTTACGCGGCACAAATGCCGTCGTACATTCTTATCTAAAAGATAGAGTTATAAGACCCAGCCATGCATTGTATATTGCATAAACTTTCCTATATGTACGTGTATTGAATTTCATCCCCCTTTTCATCTCTTCAGGTCAGTCTATTTAGTGCTCTTTTCCTGTCTTTCTGTAATTGATGATGGTGTTCTATATCTGATGAGTACAGATCATAAGCTTCATTGCAATACAATTATTCTGACAAGATCGTGACATTCTACCGTATCAATGCCAAATCTGTCCCAGTCTCCTATCACTCCTCTCTTATATGAGAACTGTACGTAAAATATCTGATGGAAGTCATAAAGGGAACAAGCTCATAGACTGACTTTTGGTCCTCAGTACAGTATGCAGAACCAAACGTTATTGATTTCGAATGGCTTGAGGAAGATTCGAAAGAAGGGCATGGTCATTTCATGAAGGCTTTGGAGGAAGGCGCGTCAATAGGCCTCTTCCATCTCGTTAACCATGGCCTTGATCCAGAGTTGGTAGGTTTATCGGTGTTATTTTTCTTGTGTTAACAAGTTACATAGTTCCAGACGCTCCATGCCGTCACTTACACTTACATGACGACACAATCTCTAGAAGAGAAAGATAGTGTCTCATGCGTCGAGGGCACAGGCTCTTTTGAGGGGTACCGACCACGTACGGCGGACGAGTAAGTATGATCCGGAAAACATGCATGATGCCTTGTGCTAAAACTACGTCAAGGAAGAAGAGAGGAGCCACCAATGTGATTGAGGAGTATAACTACGACTACAAATCTAGCGGACCAGTTACTAGACCGCGGATCATAGAAGAGAACGAGTCCACCTGCCGTCAATTATTTGATGTAAGCAATATGATTATCGAGTTTTGTAATCGCGCTAAAAGCCTCAAGTTCTACCATGATATATTGACACCTCGGCTCCTTGACGCTATTGAACAATTTGCTAGGCTTCCAGTGGGAACGTTAAGACAACTCCACGAAGAGTCGAGTGAGGTGGCACACTTCCTCTTTTATCGTGAGTACTGGGCGTCCTAAGAGTTGTTCCGGGGAACTAGATCAGAAAGGACTGATTCACAAGACCTTAGATCCCCAGTGGTACAAGGACATAAGGAGGAGGCGAGCTGCGTATGCTGGCCACACTGACGTTGGGACAATCACCTATCTGTATGCGAATCCAGTGGCCAGCCTGCAAGTATACAGTTCTCAAGGGTGGAAGTATGTGGCCTATATTCCAAATTCGATTGTCATTAATATGGGGGATGCCATGGAATTTATTACACAGGGGCGAATAAATGCGACACTCCATCGAGGTGAGTAAAAGTTACAAATCCTATGGGCACAGTCATTCCAGAGCCAGAGTGTTAATGCACATCTATTACGTGTAGTTGTTAAGCCGTTACCTAGCCAGGACAAGGATGTAAGGACTGCACTGGTTTACTTTGTGCACCCTAATCAATCTTGCATGTCTTCGTCTGTACGGCATTTTCGGGAGCTTAGGGCAAGATACACTTCTTCGACCAAAGAGTCTCCTGGGAGCTCGATCAATGGTGCGGGATGTAGGTCCAAAGGCAATCACCAGGTATTAAGAATGGGAATCAACTAACAAAGTTGTCAGTGAATCGAGTAATATCATCATTGTCGGCCGCCAAAGAGGATATCTACTTTATGCCGGTTAATTCGCAGGCATGGGAGAAATCCAAAAGAGGTGAAATGGTCACGTCTCCGCGAAACTTCCATGTTAACTTTGAGACTTTGCTTGTTGAATAGTTGTGCGAAAGCCCGTGACATGAATTACTACCTGGCGGGATATGGCTCTAACTTACAATATCAGGGTCGAATGGTGGTTGCCTCTGCATCAGGGCTAACTTTTCTATCACCAAACGCATTTTTCTAAAAGGCCTGAAAAGTCTAGAGCCAGGGCTTAGGAGTATTAAACTTACATAGAGCTACTATTTCTGTTACTAAAGTGTTAAATAACTGTTAGCGCTAGTATACACTCTCTATATAACTTAAGTAAAGTTATTAAATTATAGAAGTTAAAATAAATAACTATCTATATATTAATAAATATAATAATCTTATAACTTTATAAAGAAGAAGTAAACAAAGCCTTACTAGACCTTAGAAACATTAGTAGATATAATTGTTAGTAATCTAATAGTAAGGTTTCTACTAGATATATAGCCTAGATTAATACTTAGTTAATACTACTATAGGTTTACTAGCTAGTTAATTACTTAGTAATTAATTAGGTAGTTAATAGGTATAAAGGTAACTTATATAGCTCTTGTTAATAAATTACTAAATTTAAATATTAAAAAGAGCTTAGAGAATATATTATAGAGTTAATTACTAAAGAGCTATATAAGATTATTCTTAAGTATATCTAAGTTTATTTTATAAATTAGTTTATAATTCTATTAGTAAACTATAAAGTAATAGCCTACTATTAAGGTTCTACTATAAAGTAACTTTAACTACTTAGTCTTTTACCTAAAGTATTTATTATTTATTAGTCTTTTTAATTATTTTATAATATATACTATAGTTTCTTTCTTAAAATATTAATTATATATTAATCCTAATAATAAGAAAGGTTAGGCAGATAGGAGAAGAGATAGGAAAATTAGTAGATAGAAGGATATAGGTATATTTATTATTATAAGAAGACTTAGAGAATAAAACTACTTCTAGTAGTTTCTTCTCTTCTATATATAATAAATAACACTTACTAGATCCTTCTATAATAGTATATATTAACCCTATATTATATATATATTAACCCTTTATAATAGTTATAGTTATATAGTTATTAGTAGTTCTAAAACCTTTGGCTTATTATAGATTTACTAGATCTAGTTTCACTTGTTTTACCTAAGTTAGGTAACCTTGTTTAAAGTACCCTAGGCTATATTATATTATTGCCTTGACCTTGACCTTATTAACCTTATTAATATATTAATACTCTTAGAGGCAAGGCACTTCTAAGAGAGTAATTTTTAATAGGTCTATATAGGTCTATTAGGTTATATATAGAGTATATCTCTATATAGGTAACTATAATATCCTTATATATATATTTTTTTATATCTCTTATAGTTATATTAAAATAAGGGTTAAGGTTAAAGTTAAGGTTATATTTTCTTATAAGCCTTATATTTAAGTTTAATTACTTTACTACTATAAAAGCTATACTAATTATACTTTAATATTATAAGACTAAAAGTACTTAAAAGTTATTATATTATAATCTTAGGTCTTTTTGCTTAAAGGTATTACTTTAAAAACCTAAAAGTAAGTTATATATTTTATATTAAGGATATATTAGTTATATTTCTTAATTTACTATAATACTAACACTATATTAGGTTATATAATATATAAAAAGAATTATAAAAGTCTAAACTTAAGAAGTATAAATTATATTTTATAAAGTAATAGTAATAATTATATTACTTCTTTTTTATCACTTTAGCTATAATTATTAGAATGTTAACTATTATAGATAAATATTAGAGTTATTAGGTTAACCCTAATAACTTATTACTAGTAAATCCTTAGATATTTAGCTATAGATTCTCTAAGGATTTATAGACAATAAGTTAGTTATTTAACTAATTAACCTATAATAATTATTCTTCTTTTCTTTATATATAATAAAGAACTATAGTTACCTTTATTATTTATTAATTACTACTAATATATATAGTTAACTATATTAACCTATCTCTTAGTGTTACTAATACTAATTAGTAGTTAACTTTACTATTAACTATATAGATTAACTTTATTATTTAAACTATAGATTAGCAAGGACTATAAAAAGAGGTAATTATTACTAGTTAATTATTTATACGCCTAGAGTAGGTAAGTACTAAAAAACGCCTCTATAAATACCTTTACTATAATATTACACTAATTACCTATTATAATAGGTTAATTAATAGATCTATAACTAGTCCCCTTAACTAGCAGAAACCTTGTTAATTTACGTCTATTATATAAGCTTTATTGCCTTTAGAGAAGTAGTCTTAACTATAAAAAACCTCTTACTTTATATACCTATAGCTAACTAGTAATTATTTACTATATCTTATTTATTATAAGCTCTTTAGCTTACTAACTTCTTTTTTATATATATATACTTCTTTTACTAACTAATAGTATTAATAAGTAGCTAATATAATAGCCTATTGTTTTTCCTTAAGTTATTTAGCTATAAAAGTATATTTTTCTCTAGTTGTTTATACTACTAGTAATAATCCCTTTAATAAATATATACGCCTTCTAGTCTACTAGAAGAAACGCCTATATTTAAGAGGTTATTAGGCTAACAGAGGATAATAGTAAATAACACTATACCTATAAGTAAAAGACCTAAGCTAAGATAAGTAAATATAATAAGCTTATAAGTAAACAAGGCTTATAGGTTACTACGCCTTTATTTATAAGGCAACAAGAAGAGAAGATTTATAGTAAATATAATATACTACTTAATATAATAAAGAAGATAATACTAATAAATAATATTATTACTATACCTTTTACTCTTATATAGTATATTCTTTTATACTAATAAAGGAGAAATTATATTATAAGGTTACTAGCTAACCTTATAAAGAAGTAATAGTCTTTTATACTTAACACTATTACTATATTTTATCTTAGTAAATCTAAGTATAATAAGTACCTTAGTAGTAAATTACTTTACTATATATAAAAAGACCTTACTAACTAGTCTATTTATAACTTTAAGGCTATTAACCTAAAGGTCTTAGTAAGTCTATATAACTTCTTTATTAACTATAGAGTATAAGTTAACTATAGTAAGTACTTATTAATTACTTAACGTATATTTAATACTTTTTAATAAAAGAAAGACACCTATTAGACTAATAAAATAATTAGTATTATTAAAAAGGTATTATATAACTTTAGAGAACGTCTTAAAGACCTTAACTTTATAAAAGATATTAAGGGCTATAAGATAATTATATATAAAGTAAAAATAATTAAAGTACGCCTATTACTAGTAACTAGCTACTAAACCTTCTATAATAACCTAACCTTTACTTTACTACTGTCTTTATTAACATTAAAACTCTATATAATAGCTAAAATTAATAGCCTATATATAATAACTACTATACTACTATAGAAGCTTTTATTAACTATAGTAATATTAATAGTAATATTAAGGCTAATACTAAAGTAAATAAGTAACTTTATAAAGATATACTTTAATAACTAGGCTATAAAGTATACTAGTAGCTAGTATAAAACTATTAACTTAAAATTACTATTATTCTATAACCTTTATATCTAGGTAAATATAATATAAGACTACTATAAAGTAGTAATTTAAGTAATACTCTTAAGGTAAA